CTGCAGTAACTTTTTTCAGTTGTGTTGAGATCCCCAACCCCAAGACGAGAGGAAAAAAAACCCTCCTAAGTTGCCTGAAGACAAAATTGTCCGTAATGTATGAATATAAGCATAAAATTATTGTTTAGTGTCAGTCCAGTGATTGACAGGACCATAAACTCCACTCACCAACATGACAATGTATTTGATCAGTGGCATGGAAAATAGATGTAAAAAGACAGACTTGAAATGGAAAGGTTTTTCACTGTTTATGACTTTTCGAGTACTTAGTAAAGTTCCTATAAATCTACCTGCTGTGTTGCACATGCATGTGCTTACAATCTTGGGCTGGCGACTTCAGTGCCCACACGGTCCTTTGAGGATTTATTTGTGAACCCAGTGCACTTTTTAACCGAATAAATGTTTGGCAAGTGCTGTGTGTCCTCTCCTTGTTCGAAATAATGTCCTTAATTTATTGGAAGGTTTTCTTTTAATGTTTTGGTGTTGTTATACAGTAGTTTTTTTTTCTTGTTACAGAATAATAAGTTTTGAACTTCAATAGTAAAAAAAATAAAAATAAAAAATTGTTAAAAGGAGATCAGACCTTGTTTCACTGTATAATTGCTAAACGTGTCTTAAAACTGCTGTTACCACGCAATTTTGCATTATAAAGCATTTCAGAACACGTTTCTTATTTCGGTATGAAGGCATGAATAACAGCGCCCCGTGGCGGTTTTAAATATAACTGCATCAATGCAGGAACATCAGTTACATTTCGAGTCGAGGGGAGTGATCTGTTCAGGCCAAATTTAGTACAGGTATTCCGATTCAGTATTTGCATAAGCGCTTATTTGCAAGGGAAAGACTAAAATTCGCAAAGCAGGTGAGAAAGCGACATTCCACTCAACTACACATCCACTTACTTCTTTTTGGGGCTCCCAATCAATTTAATATGACAAGGATCAAGTTCCTTGAGAGCTGTTCATTTTAGCCGCGGTATAGAAATACCCTTTCAACAAGATTCAGAATACACCATAAAGTGACAAAGAAATTTTAATCAAACTTGCATTTGTCATTTCAAAACTCTCACTGATGCATAAGTTACACTCACCCTTCATAACATGAATAAAGCACACCTTCTCGCAAAAAAAATTAAAAAACAATACAAGCGAAAAGTATCCGGCAACCATTTGCGATCTTTCCTTCAGCACACACAGTGAATCATGATCTTGTACATTATAAAACCTTTGAAGCAGATATGAAATTTGAACAGTAAATCTTTTCTCCTAAAGTGATTTATTGAAGCTACAACCCAGCTGGGTGAGGCAGTCATGTGATTTGATCCACTGCTCAGATCAGGACATCTGGATCGTCTCTGCAGCTCCTCAGCAACCTCAAGTCCAGCCTTAAGATCACCACAATTTGAACCTTTGTTCGTCATAAATGTTGCATCATGACCATTTCTCAGCCCGTCTGTCTCTTTCACTGCTTTATCACTTGGACTTATCCTGTTGTTCTCATCTTTGGGCCGTTTAGCTTGAAATGGACAGAAGTCCGTGTTCATCTGCTGAGTCAAGAATGCTGCAAATGACTGAAGATTCAACCTGAGACAAGAACATGGATTTAATGTGGTCCCAGAAGTGATTAACTGTTTGATGACTACACTTACCCCGAGGATGTATTGACAAGTCTGAGGTTCCAGCATATAGACAGTGACCGCATGGGGAGACTCGGACTCTTTACATCTGATGCAAGAGCAAGATGGAGTCAGTAAGGAAACATCTGGTTCTTATTCTATCGACTCATGATGCAATGGTATGAAAACGTTTGGCCACTCTTGATCATTTTTCAAGATTTTCCTTTATAAATCATTGGTTGTTTGAATAACCTGATCCAAACAGCCACTGGTTTAGAAAGGAGAATCTTGCAAATGATTCAGTGGTGCCCAAACCTTTTCATCCAGCCATCCATTTTCTGATCCGCTTATCTTCACAAGGGTCGCAGGGTGTGCTGGAGCCTATCCCAGCTGGCTTCGGGCAGTAGGCGGGGGACACCCTGAACCGGTTGCCAGCCAATCGCAGGGTACACATACGATATACAACCATTCGCGCTCACACTCATACCTAGGGACAATTTAGAGTGCTCCTTTAACCTGCCACGCATGTTTTTGAAATGTGGGAGGAAACTGGAGTACCCGGAGAAGACCCATGCAGGCACGGGGAGAACATGCAAACTCCACACAGGAAAGCCAGAATCGAATCCTGTGCCTTCTGCACTGTGAGGCCGACGCACTAACCAGTCGACTACCGGGCCGCCACTTTTTCATACAAAGACATACAAATATTTGAGAAGTGAAATGAAGTTTATAGGGTTTACAGAAATGATTGCACACTTTCTGTAAATCCTACAAGCTTCATTTTACTTCTCAAATATCACTGTTTGTCTGCAATACGATATATTTAAGTGAAATTGATGATCCAAACAACCAATGATTTATCAAGGGAAATCTTGAAAACTGTTCACATACTTTAATTTGACAACGACTTGGCGAGGTTTTCCAGTCAGATCACACACGTCGCCATGGCTGTAGAAATGAGAGACCAGCCTGCACAGAGGTATTAAAAAAAAAAGGTGAACGTGGATAAAAAGGGCTTGGTTTTGATTGCTGATCCGTGTAGAAAACTGCATACTTGACTTTCTGCACTCCACTGTCTTTTAGCTGGTAAGATCGAGCAACGTTCTTCTTGGACCACTCGATGTGTTCCTCGGCATTCCAGTTCCCAACTACCACAATGTTCTTGGCTTGCTCCTTATCCTTAAACAGCAAAGGAACGCAACTATTGGATAAATGTGCTTCATCAAAGACAGTAGTAAAGTGGGACCGTTTGCATCCTGACATACCCGAGAAAATACTACAGTACTTTGTCCATGCAAAGGGCTTTTCTCCTTTAATGACACGTATTGTCTTGGAAGATTTTTTAAAATTACTTTATGATATCATGCGTCCATTTTCTGTATTACTTGTCCTCAATGGTAGCAGGTGACCCTGACTGGTGACCAGCCAATTGCAGGCCACAATCACACCTATGGACTTCAATCAAAGATTTCAATTAACCAATCGTGTGTGTTTTTAGTTGTGGAAATCAAAGCAGCCTACCCCAAAAGACACACTTCAGACTAGCAAAAGCACGACTCACCTCATGGTACTGATGGACGTGTTTTCCATAACAGAATTCATATTTCCACCATCCGACCCCCTGAAAAACACATCATGAAACATCTGACCTCTCAGTGTGGCCACTAAAAATTCCTCCAGGTCCGTTTGACGAAGCCTCACCCCGTGTAAACAGTAGGAGCCGCTAAGGAAGTCCTTGACGAGCTGCTCATCTGTCAGCCGTGATATGTGAGTGGTACCAATAGCCAGCTGGGCCTGCTCGTCCACCAGAACTGGTTGGTGTGTGGGAGTGAAGGCTCCCTCTCTTGTTGGTGGAGCTTCCTCCTGTAACCATCGCACAAAGCGGTCAGTAAAGACATTACGTTTACCATTCCTTACCCGTCACTGCAAAATACATTCGCTTCCAATGTATTTAATCTCAAAAAAAAATATTTTTTAAATACAGCAAATGTCAGTTACTTTCAGGCCAGGTTGCACCAACAAGGTTTAACTTTAAAAGTAGATTAAATAGCTTGGGTAACGACCATCCTGGCCAAGATTGCGATCATCACATGACCAAACTGAGAAAACAGGTGAGTTGAGCCCTGAGCAACTGTGATGTCATTTTTAAATCAACAGCAAGTGGCAAAATGGCCACCGTTGAGATGGATCGAAACGGGTGAATTTTGATGCATAATTCATATCCCACAAACACAGTATCGATCGGGATACTGTGTTTAGACTAGTGGGGTTGCATTAAATATATTATTGTCATTAAAAAAAAAAAAAAAAAAAAAATACCGGTACGTAAATACGAACTCGAAATTGACTTGCCTTTTAAGTAACGTTCTACACCCAGGGTGGGCAACTCCAGTCTTCGAGGGCTGATACCCTGTATGTTTTAGACCTTTCCCTCCACCAACACACCTGATTCAAAATCCTGATAACTATCCTGATCATTTGAATCAGGTATACTGGAAGAGGGAAACATCTAGCAGCCCTCGAGGACCGGAGTTGCCAACACCTGTTCTACACGATGGCTCGTACTTCTACTAGAGTTATTTTCTATTAAGATACTTGAACTTTACCCGAATATCGCTTTCAGGTACTTCATTACAAGACTGGCGAATAGCCGACCTCTCTGTGCTCTGCAGTGGTGCTGAAAGGAGGCTTGAGCTGCTCCTCTTGCTTCTTATCCAGCTGGGTGAGTCGCTGAGGCCGCGGCGGTGAGCCAGCGAGTGCCTGGCAGAAGATGGCGTTAACTGGGGACGATTTGAACCTGCACAACGCAAAAAGGGAGGAGGGTCACCTTTAATCCGCCGCGCCTGTTATGTAAGATGATGTAGAGCAGTTCTGCAAATTTCTACCTGTATTTCGGGTGCGCACAGAGCAAAGGGGTCAGCACCACCACCTCATATTCGCAGGTGGTGACCTCGGCGATCGACAGGATCTCATGCTTGGCCTCCGGGTGACACACGTACAGCACGGAGGTGGAGCGCGGCACGTTCTGCTTCAGTTCACAAGGTGTCCCGTTTCCCATCTCCAGTGAGTAATATGGAGTCAGTTGACCTTCTATATTCTTAGACGGCACCTATAAGACAACATGTACAACGTGTGTCATATTTATAGTGGCAAATGCAGTGGACTGTCCAATTTGTGAAGCTTACTTCTGTTTCGGATGCTGATGGGGTTGTGTCTGTCTCTTCAATTTTTGCTGACGTAAGAAATACATAGCTTTATATTAGCAGAATACAACAGAAATGATGCATCAATTAATACGAATACACAGATAGCTCAGCCCATTAACACGCCTTAAAAAGTTATAACAT